AGACGATCAATGCTGTTATCAATAACCACGCGCGCACCAACACTATACGCAGGCACACGGACACACACGCACACACATATATAGACGATCAATACTGTTATCAATAACCACGGCCGCACCAAACACTATACGCACGCACACGTACGCACACGCATACACATATATAGACGATCAATGCTGTTATCAATAACCAGCGCCGCACCAACACTATACGCACGCACACGCACGCACACCACACACATATATAGACGATCAATGCTGTTATACAATAACCACGCCGCACCCAACCACTATACGCACGCACACGTACGCACACGCACACACATATATAGACGATCAAATGCTGTTATCAATGCTGCCACCATTATAAGCACAGACACGAACAAGAACGCACATACACGTGCACGAACCGGACACGAGCACGCACGCACGCACGCACACACACACGTAAAAGCTGTAGGGCAAGGCTAACGTCTCAAATTACTTACAATTGCAGTTACAATTGTATTATTTATTTGTACCAAGATATAGATATGCTATACTCACAGCAACATGACAGCAGCCGACGAATGGCCTTATTGTTTCCTGATCCACAGTATGCCATCGCAACAGTGTACATCCCTACAACAAGCGACAACGTTGTATGAGAATTAGACTCTAAAGAAAGTAAATGACCGTTGAGGATCAATGCAAGGACGTGTTGAACACATGATAATATTGTCGAACATAAAAAATACATGCACACAGTTTAGCAGAAACATAAGATAACATGTCTCAACCAAATTACGCATAGATATGAACTTTTCCATAGCTTTTACACTATAATATAACAGTATAACACTATAATATTTCAGTGCATTTATGTTTTTTTACATTTGGTTTTCTGTCCATTTATCTCAGACAGTGGAGAATTTTGAGGGTATTTCATATCATGAATATTACAAGATAAAGGCATATGCATATATGCCTTCAATAAATTTTTTTAATATAAAATACAGGATTTGTTTAATTCATCTAAGTGACTGAGTATCGGCAAGTTATCTGTCCAACGTTATATTGTCAAGGTCATTTGAAAAAATGCAAAAGATTAATTTTATTCAACTACAATTTCCGAACAAAATGAATAAGAACGAGGAAATTAGTATTCAGATAACCGCTAACCTATTAGCCGATGGGAATAATTCTCGGTGAACAAACAGTAGTGTGTTTTAAGGCTGATAGAACCACATCGCCACTGAGAAACGCACTCTTCATCTCGATTCGCTTTACTCGGCACCCGCCCATAGAAATGGGTTTAGATGCGTGCCGTGCGTTAACCTAACAATCATACTAGAGTGAGTAGCACTGCTGGACAGAGTGCGTTACGGAAACCAAAGCAACATTGTTATCACAGCCTCGAGGAGACAGATGAAAAATGGAGAGAGAAAGGATGAACGAGGAGAAAAAACGAGGAAATAGTACAGTACAATAGCGCAACTGACCAACGCACTTCATCTAGATTGGCTTTAGTCGACACCCTCACTTTTTCTTCTTCTTCTACTTCCTAAAACTTCACGCACGTAAGAGTGAGTAGCACTGCTGGGAAGAGCACATTACGGAAACCAGAGCAACATGGCTGCCGAGACTGCACGCTCCCTCCGAAAAAGAAAGACACATTCAAAATTGTGTGTTTATGTGCTTATATGTGCATTTGTCTGGGCAGGGGTCCATAGCTTTCACTAGATTCTCAAAGGGGTGCATCACTCAAAAAAAGGTTATGAACCACTGCGTTGGATACCTGATCTGCGCAGGATGGGGTCCTTGTCCCGCGCGAGGCTCTCTATGAGTGGGTCTGCCTCCTCCAGCATGCCGTACATGACGAGCGCGATGCCCACCGCCAGCCCCCGGATGATCTTCTCATGCTGAGTCTCCTGCGCGTACTGCAAACATACGAGACACATGACTGAAGAGGATCGTCAACTCGTCGCCGTATTTCGCCGCTCGTGCATTTTCTCTCGCAGACAATTTACAAACGAACGAGAGGCGCAACTGAAGACGTCGATTCGTTTCCAATTCCTGCGCATACTGGGAACGAACAAGAGACACGACTAAAGAAAATCGTCAATTCATCAATCGTATTTTGCCCGGTCGCGCATTTTCTCTCACAGAAATTTTACAAAAACGAACGAGAGACATGAACTGAAGACGTCAATTCGTCTCCTGCGCGATACTAGAAACAAACCAAATGACAACACAACTGAAGACGCCAATTCCTCAATGTATTTCGCGGCTCGTGGGACGCATTTTTGTTTTGCGGTAAATGCCTCCGAAAACCACCTTGCGAACTATGAGCTGAAGGCTGGTGCAGCAGACATAATTATACATAGGGGAGCAAATGTCTGAAATAGACGAAATCCTCAGTGGAGTAGCCTATACTAACCAATGCTGACAGTGAGGAATCCTAAAGGGAATTATACGGGTAACAAGAAGCGTGCCGCCTTATTTAGAATGAGCATATACCTGCTAGTGCAGAAGGCTATTATGCAGTCAATGTGTTTTTTTCAGAATACAGGTCCCGTTTTACGGTAGGGTTAGGTTCCACTAAAAAAGGGTCGTAAAATGAAAAGTCGTAAAACAAGACCAAATTATAATGCAATTAAATGCTATCATTGCATCCAAAATGCACCACGAAAAACAAAAGAAGTGCATATTGCGTGTTTGGATTCACAGGAGTTGCTGCGATATGTTAGTTGCGATTTTTTTTGTCGTTTTCAATTTTTGAGGTAATTTTGAAAAGGTCGTTAATGCGAAAAGTCGTAAAATGAACCATCGTAAAATGGGACCTACCTGTATGACCTAAATTTCATGTGCGTCTCCTGCACCACAGCATCTTAATTTTATACGCCACAAAGATACGGGGCAATGGCAATCAGCCTGCGGGGGTTAGTCAATTAGACCACGTGCCTCTAGTTTCTCACGATCCGAGAGAAGAGAGAGCGGAACTACAGACAGACATGCCTCATCTGAGAACGACCGTCTCCGCTAATAATGCGTCACGAGCGAGCGCGGGGATGCGATCATAGTAATTCCGCTAATGAGATACATCGTGCGCAAATTTGCCTGAAGGGAAATACGCGGCAAAAGTTCCGTCGAGTTTCGTTAGTTTTTGCTTGGTTTTATCGTTTCTGTAATTATCGGAAGGGCCCTAAGTTAGGGTTAAAATGAAAGAAAACCGAATAAAATTCAACAAGCAGCATTGAAGTATCACAGTGATGGATGACATCTATACAATATTCACATATAATCACAGATGTGTACATAGTGATATGTATAGCCTTCTATTTAGCGGTTAACCGTTATCTCGATTAATTTTATATTAGATTACGTTACACTATGCAGGGAAATGGAAACTAAAATATTGAGGGGCTAGAATTGAGACTAGCATCGTAGAAAATTTTCCCCTGAATATATATATATATATATGATACTACATTCCGTATGAGAAAAAATTGATGCCATAACAATGAATCGCAGGACCATATAAGACAGGGGTAGAAATTAACTTTTGAACAAGCGAGTCCAACCGACTCCCTGCCTTCAAAAAGAGAGAGTCAGCAGTCTGAAGTACAAAACTAAAGCATAACAACAATAACGCATGTGCTTATTTTGAAGATTTATGCGATGCACGTCTGCCAAATTTTTTTTGGACATTTGCTGAATAAATACGGTAATTCCGCGAGGCCGTGCTCTGAAATAAATTAACTAGTTAGTATAGCAGAATTTTCAGGGAGTCACACGAACTCCTGCATATCTCAAATCAGGGAGTCCGATAGTTAATCAGGGAGCATTTGACTCCGGATTCCCGTTAATTTCGCACCCTGTAAGATATTGTTACATATGTACTACTATAAACATATGTTTACAATACATTCATGCTGCATATATATATATATACATACATATATCTGTATAAACTTATATCTACAATAATATACAGATATTCTCACGGTCAAAGCGCTGTACGTAACAGGAGCAGTCAATCGTTAAATGCTTGATTATCGCTTACCGAAACCATATCTTCGATGGCAGTAGGTGACTTGGAACCCAGCATGACAAGTCCCATTGCCAACCCAGCAGCTTCACCTAATAGAAGATAGAATTAGAATTAGATTTACAAGTAGATCCATAGCTCCGTGAACAGCTCGATAAATAAATGCAGTGAGATGGAGCGAGGCAAGTATGTGTATTTTTTTACTTAGCATCGACAATCCAACGCTGAGTGAATGGCGCACGATTGGCAGTGTACAGAGGCTCTAAGCACGCAATCATGAGCCAATTAATGGTCATAGAACTGTCACTCCTACCGAGTCCTCTAATTCATTCAGACCTAATATCATGGTGAAGTCTGCCTGGTATTTCTCCAAACAATATAATTTCCAACCCCTGAGGACTTATCGCTTTTCTTATGATTTCCGAAAACTTTCGAGGCACACTTTCAAAATTGCCCAATACAGTGTCAAACTTTAGATCTGCCTTTAAAGTAATGGATATACTTAGAACTTATAGCTACAGTTATAACAAAAAAAAGGATTTCACTGCCATTTTGTGAAAAGTGTGAGTTCAGACACAAAGTTCAGCATTCGCTTTTCACGCATGCAACCATTTTTTCAGGGACACAGAAAACACTCGTGGCTGCAGTTGCAACTTCACAATCAGAAGCAGAATAACTATATATATATATCTTAGATCACCCGAGGGAATCCATCCACATCTTCCAATTAACTCACCGGTGACTGCGTCATCTTGTAGTAGGTTCATCTTCAGTTGATCGTAGACATCTGTAAATGAGAGGCACATGGGATCTCATGATCATGCTAATCACTAACGTCACCATAGTTAGATAGCACGACGGACCCGACGTAATCGATAAACGACATTAATGACGTCGCGTGCAACGATGATGATAACGCAATTTTTCGTATATGGATACCTTGTCTTGCAGTGCCCATCGCAGCTAAGCCGAGACCCAGAGCAGCTCCATGCCTCACCATCTAATATAATAAAAAAAAATTCCATTTCAGTTGCAGAATGCACTATGCATTTGACTTACACATAATACAGTGTAGCCCCATTATAACGCGATGGTTGGGGTCCATAAAATGTCATCGCGAAAAAAGCGGGATCGCACTAAATCGGGGTTATATATACGTGCCTATATAAAAGCAAAAAAAGGGGGACCAACGACTCATCGCGTTATATCTGAATTCGCGTTAAATCGGGACGCGCGTAAAATCAGGGTTCCACTGTATATTATTTACACTATCCCTGACATGCGTGTATAGTAAGTATAACACTCGAGCAATGCTGTTATCAACAATGCTGCACCATTATAAGCACAGACACGAACAAGAACGCACATACACGTGCACGAACGGACACGAGCACACATACACACACACACACACACGTAAAAGCTGTAGAGCAAGGCTAACGTCTCAAATTACTTACAATTGCAGTTACAATTGTATTATTTATTTGTACCAAGATATAGATATGCTATACTCACAGCAACATGCAGCAGCCGACGAATGGCCTTGTTGTTTCCTGATCCACAGTATGCCATCGCAACAGTGTACATCCCTACAACAAGCGACAACGTTGTATGAGAATTAGACTCTAAAGAAAGTAAATGACCGTTGAGGATCAATGCCAAGGACGTGTTGAACACATGATAATATTGTCGAACATAAAAAATACATGCACACAGTTTAGCAGAAACATAAGATAACATGTCTCAACCAAATTACGCATAGATATGAACTTTTCCATAGCTTTTACACTATAATATAACAGTATAACACTATAATATTTCAGTGCATTTATGTTTTTTTACATTTTGGTTTTCTGTCCATTTATCTCAGACAGTGGAGAATTTTTGAGGGGTATTTCATATCATGAATATTACAAGGATAAAGGCATATGCATATATGCCTTCAATAAATTTTTTTAATATAAAATACAGGATTTGTTTAATTCATCTAAGTGACTGAGTATCGGCAAGTTATCTGTCCAACGTTATATTGTCAAGGTCATTTGAAAAATGCAAAAGATTAATTTTATTCAATTACAATTTCCGAACAAAATGAATAAGAACGAGGAAATTAGTATTCAGATAACCGCTAACCTATTAGCCGAGTGGAATAATTCTCGGTGAACAAACAGTAGTGTGTTTTAAGGCTGATAGAACCACATCGCCACTGAGAAACGCACTTCATCTCGATTCGCTTTACTCGGCACCCGCCCATAGAAATGGGTTTAGGATGCTGCCGTGCGTTAACCTAACAATCATACTAGAGTGAGTAGCACTGCTGGACAGAGTGCGTTACGGAAACCAAAGCAACATTGTTATCACAGCCTCGAGGAGACAGATGAAAAATGGAGAGAGAAAGGATGAACGAGGAGAAAAAACGAGGAAATAGTACAGTACAATAGCGCAACTGACCAACGCACTTCATCTAGATTGGCTTTAGTCGACACCCTACTTTTTCTTCTTCTTCTACTTCTACTTCCACTAATTCTTATAGTGTAGAAATGGGTTCAGGATGCAGCCGTTAATCTAACAACCGTACGCACGTAAGAGTGAGTAGCACTGCTGGGAAGAGCACATTACGGAAACCAGAGCAACATGGCTGCCGAGACTGCACGCTCCCTCCGAAAAAGAAAGCGACAGCACGCGAGAAAAAAAGATAAAAAATGAAAGAGGAAAGATGAACGAGGGAGAAAAACGAGGAGAACGAGAAGAAAGAGACGAGGATGGCGACGTTAGAGTTTAGAGACCTGATCTGCGCAGGATGGGGTCCTTGTCTCGCGCAATGCCCTCTCGATGCTTTAGGATGCTGTCGTAAATCTAACACACCGTACGCGTTAATCTAACAACCGTACGCACGTAAGAGCGAGTAGCACTGCTGGGACGGAGCACATTACGGAACAAAGCCAACATGGTTGCGCAGCCTCAACGCGATCCCTCGAGAACGAAAGCGCGCGGGAAGAGATAAAAAAAATTCTGGAGAGAGAAAAGATGAACGAGGAGAAAAACGACGACAAACGAGAGAGACGGGCGAGGGGGGGGGATGCGTTGGCGACGTCGTCTACACACCTGATCTGCGGCAGGGCATGGGGTCCTTGTCGCCGCGCGAGGCTCTCTATGGTGGGTCTGCCTCCTCCAGCATGCCGTTTACATGACGAGCGCGATGCACCGCCAGCCTGCCGGATGATCTTCGCAGCTGAGTCTCCTCGCGTACTGCAAACATACGAGACACATGACTGCAGAGATCGTCAAACTCGTCGCCGTATTTTGTCCCGAGTCGGTCGTTATTTTCTCTCGCCAGGAAATGTTTACAAACGAACGAGAGGCGCAACTTGAAGACGTCGAGTTCGTGTTCCATTCTCGCGCATACTGCGGACGAACAAGAGACACGACTAAATAAAATTCGTCAATTCATCAATCGTAATTTTGCCGGTCGGCATTTTCTCTTACACGACAACGAACGAGAGACATGAACTGAAGACGTCAATTCGTGCATCCTGCGCAATACTAGAAACAACAAATGACAACACAACTGAAGAGCCAATTCTCAATGTATTCTCGCGGGCTCGTGGGACTCATTTTTGTTTTCGGGAAATGCTCGAAAAACCACCTTTGTGGGTTATGAGCTGAAGGTGATTGCAGCAGGACTAATTATAATAGGTGGAGCAAATGTCTGAAATAGCGAAATCCTTCAGTGAACCAGAAGTAGCGCTATACTAACCAATGCTGGACAGTGAGGAATCCTAAAGGAGAATGGTATACGACGGCTAAACAAACGAAGCGTGCCGCCCTTATTTTAGAGATGCAGCTACTATACCTGCGTAAAGTGCAAGGCTACTATGCACTCAATGTTTTTTTTTCCAGAATACAGGTCCCGTTCTACGGGCACCTCTAGGGTTAGGCTTCCACTAAAAAAGGCTCCGTTAAAATGAAAAGATCGTCAAAACAAGACCAAATTATAATGCAATTAAATGCTATCATTTGCATCCAAAATGCACCACGAAAAACAAAGAAGTCTGCATATTGCCGTGGTTTAGATTCACAGGGATCTGCTGCCGTATGGTTAGTTGCATTTTTTTGTGCTTTTCAATTTTGGGTAATTTGAAAAGGTTCGTTAATGTGAAGTCGTAAATGCAACATCGTAAAATGGGCATACACTGTTAGACCTAAATTTCATGTGCGTCTCCTGCACCACAGGCATCTGATAATTTTATACGCCACAAAGATACGGGGCAATGGCAATCAGCCTGCGGGGGGGGTTAGTCAATTAGACCACGTGCCTCCAGTTTCTCACGATCCGAGAGAAGAGAGAGCGGAACTACAGACAACATGCTCCATCTGAGACGACCGCCTCCGCCTAATAATGCGTCACCGAGCGACGCGGGGGATGCGATCATAGTAATTCGCTAATGAGATACATCGTGCGCAAATTTGCCTGAAGGAAATGACGCCGGCAAAAGTTCCGGTTCCAGTTTCGTAGTTTTTCTGCTTGGTTTTATCGTTTCTGTAATTATCAGGAAGGGCCCTAAGTTAGGGTTAAACATGAAAGAAAATCGAATAAAATTCAAACAAGCGAGCATTGAAGTATCACAGTGATGGATGACATCTATACAATATTCACATATTACTCACAGATGTGTACATAGTGATATGCATAGCCTTCTTTTTAGCGGTTAACCGCTTATCTCGATTAATTTTATATTAGATTACGTTACACTATGCAGGGAAATCGGAACTAAAATATGAGGGGTAGAATTGAGACTAGCATCGTAGAAAATTTTCCCCTGAAATATATATATATATATATGATACTACATTCCGTATGAGAAATTGATGCCATAACAATGAATCGCAGGACCATATAAGACAGGGGTAAAAATTAACTTTTTGAACAAGCGAGTCCAACCGGACTCCCTGCCTTCAAAAAGAGAGAGTCAGCAGTCTGAAGTACAAAACTAAAGCATAACAACAATAACGCATGTGCTTATTTGAAGATTTATGCGATGACCGTCTGCCAAATTTTTTTTTGGACATTTGCTGAATAAATACGGTAATTCCGCGAGGCCGTGCCTCTGAATAACATTAACTAGTTGAGTATAGCAGAATTTTCAAGGAGTCACACGGAACTCTGCCATATCATCAAATCAGCGGAGTCCGATAGTTAATCAGCGAGCATTTGACTGCCGGATTCCCGTTAATTTCGCACCCTGCTTAAAGATATTGTTAACATATGTACTACTATAAACATATGTTGGTACAATACATTCATGCTGGCAATATATATATATAATACAATATATCTGCTATAAACTTATATCTACAATAATATACAGATATTCTCACGGTCAAGCGCTGTACGTAACAGGAGCAGTCAATCGTTAAATGCCTTGATTATCGCTTACCGAAACCATATCTTCGATGGCAGTAGGTGACTTGGAACCCAGCATGGACAAGCTCCATTGCCAACCCAGCAGCTTCACCTAATAGAAAGATAGAATTAGAATTAGATTTACAAGTAGATCCATAGCTCCGTGAACAGCCGATAAATAAATGCAGTGAGATGGAGCGAGGCAAGTATGTGTTTTTTTTACTTAGCATCGACAATGGCGCACGATTGGCAGTGTACAGAGGCTCAAGCACGCGATCATGAGGCAATTAATCGTCATAGAACTGTCACTCCTACGAGTCCTCTAATTCATTCAGGACCTAATATCATGGTGAAGTCTGCCTGGTATTTCTCACAATATAATTTCCAACTTAGTATTGACAATCCAACGCTGAGTGTATGGCGCACGATTGGCAGTGTACAGAGGCTCTAAGCACGCAATCATTGAGCCAATTAATGGTCATAGAACTGACACTCCTACCGAGTCTCTAATTCATTCCGACCTAATATCATGGTGAAGTCTGCTGGTATTTCTCTCAAACAATATAATTTCCAACCCCTGAGGACTTATCGCTTTTCTTAGTGATTTCCGAAAACTTTCGAGGCACGCACTTTCAAATTGCCCAATACAGTGTCAAACTTTAGGATCTGCCTTTAAAGTAATGGATATACTTAGAACTTATAGCTACAGTTATAACAAAAGGATTTCACTGCTATTTTGTGAAAAGTGTGAGTTCAGACACAAAGTTCAGCATTCGCTTTTCACGCACGCAACCATTTTTTCAGGGACACAGAAAACACTCGTGGCTGTAGTTGCAACTTCACATCAGAAGCAGAATAACTATATTATATATTATCTTAATTCACCCGAGGGAATCCATCCACATCTTCCAATTAACTCACCGGTGACTGCGTCATCTTGTAGTAGGTTCATCTTCAGTTGATCGTAGACATCTGTAAATGAGAGGCACATGGGATCTCATGATCATGCTAATCCACTAACGTCCATAGGAGATAGCACGACGGACCCGACGTAATCGATAAACGACATTAATGACGTCGCCGTGCAACGATGATGATAACGCAATTTTTTCGTATTCAGGATTACCTGTCTTGCAGTGCCATCGCAGCTAAGCGAGACCCGAGAGCAGCTCATGCCTCACCATCTAATATAATAAAAAAACATTCCATTTCAGTTGCAGAATGCACTATGCATTTGACTTACACATAATACAGTGTAGTCCCATTATAACGCGATGGTTTGGGCCGTCCATAAAATGTCATCGCGAAAAAAGCGGGATCGCACTAAATCAGGGTTATATATACGTGCCTATATAAAAGCAAAAAAAGGGGGGCCAACGACTCATCGCGTTATATCTGAATTCGCGTTAAATCGGAGCGCGTAAAATCAGGGTTCCACTGTATATTATTTACACTATCCCTGACATGCGTGTATAGTAAGTATAACACACACTTTCCGACATTTAAATTAGGAGACTATTGTGTGATTTTATCTGTGGTGCCATCTTTTGTCTATCAGGTATTCTGATTACAGCGGAGATGGGGCGACACTCATACGTGCAGTGATAACAACTTCTAATTAACACAACTTAATTAATAGTACTAACAACAATTTATACAAAAAAAATTTTAATAAAATAATATAATACACAAATAATGTAATCATATACACACGATAATATCACACAAATAAAAAATAAAATAAAACATAATAATACAAAATTAACTAAAATAAAAAAAAATAAAAAACAACAACAAGAGAACAGCCGGGCTCACGTCGGTCGTCGCATCCTTCAGCTGATTGAGCAGGTAGTCGGTCGTCTTGCCGCCGTGGTTCGCGTGGATCATTCCCAGCGCGAAGAGACCGCCTCCCTCAGAGTACGCGCTGCCGGGACCCGTGTCCTTGGGAAGGTAGGTCGCCATCAGGCTCAGCGCCTCCTTCTCGTGTCCCTTGTGGATCACGCCGAGACTCGCCGTCGCCGTAAACTTCGCCCAGTTGGTCGCCCGCGCGAGCCACTCCAGATTGTCCCTGAACGACGACGACGACGAGGACGACGATTAGACGAGAGACAAAGTCGCGGTTAGGGTTTGTTTTTCTTATCGTATAATATTTCCTGTTATCGCTCATTGCGAAGAAGGTCGCGATAGCCGCGCTACATACCCAGTACTGCGCCGTGATCGTGTCGCGAGGTCGTCGCATCCTAATTCTACGTTTTTGATACTCGTTTTTGATACGATCGAAGTTTTGAGAATTGATATGCCCCACGTGCGCACGCAAACGTAGATGTATAGGGTTTTATAGAGGTTCACCAAGAAGGGTTGCGATCGTTGCGAATCGCTGTAAATAGTGAATTATTCACAAACTTTTCCGCACATTTAAACCATTTCTGTCCGAAAATGTAGACGACCACAAGTTGAAGAATAAACACTGCTGTAAAATCAAAAGTTATGAGGACAGAACAAAAAGGTAGAGAATGTCAGGTTCGATAGTCTATTACATGTTCGTCGAACGGTGTGGAACAACAGCGGGACGGTTCAGCTGTGAACTCACCGTAGGAAAGCGTCGCTCGTTGTTCCGCAGTGCGTGAACGCGTTGGCGATCACCGTCGCTGTGTGACACACTGAGTTTCTGACCACATCCTGAACAACATAGATTCAATAGCTATCATCACGTGTGCCTAAGCATGTCCAAGATCATACACGCCACAATTGTCACCGCAAAACTTCCTCGCTTCCTACGCACTGAATGTCAATTTTATATAGATTATAGAGCTAGAAAATTTTAGAGTGTTTTAGTTACTTTTAGAGTAATTTAGAGTAATTTAGTATATAATGTTTAGTTTTGTAATCATTGACACAGGGGCTTGAAAACACCTCGTTAGTAAAACCCACCCAAGTTAAGGAAAGAGAGGAACAAGAATAAGACCAAGAGAAAGAAAAAGAGAAAGAAAATAAAGAAATGGATTAAAATATTGAGCTACCACTGATTATGCTGTGAAAGTGTTATAGCACACGTACGTTAAAAACACACCACGACATGGGCCTCCATTGAAGAGATGGTTTGCAGTTAACCAGAATTTATGTATACATGACTTCATTACCACCACAAGAAGTGGGGTAAATGAGTAGGAAAATAGAGGCTGAACATTGTGATACCTCTTATCTGTCAATTAACCTCAATAAGAATTTTGGACTTACCTTTGTATTTTTTAGTATCAGCATGTCCGTTTTGTTATTTCGAATCAAAAACTGCAGATGTAATCCTATTGATGTCTCTCCTGTTAGAATCGACGAAAGTTTCTTCATTTTGTCATGGACTGCCTTGTCTTCCTTTGAATCCTGAAATGCAAAAATTCATTCATGTATTTTATAGACTAAAACGTTCATCATCCTGACAAGAACATGGAAAAAGTCCCGCATGATCAATGTTTGTTAATCTACGTACCCTACTGTTATGAACGTGTTTACTAGTGATGTACACTCACATGAATGATAGAGTACATATATGTTCACTCTATTATGCAATTCGATTACCGATTGGGAACATTGTGTTATATCAGACCATAGAACAGAACCTAATTACCACTAGAAAATTACTAATCCTATACACAATTTCTATATTTTAAAATATTTGCAAAGTTAAGATTTTTTATTACGTCACCTGTTTCTTCTCTGTTGAATGATCTTTGTCTTCTAGTTTTACATCGGTTTCCATAGAATCATCTCTGAAACAATAATACATAAGATTTTCCCACAATACCATTAAAACACGAATATATTTTCTGGGACAGAGGGACACTGGGCAGGACCTACATCACTAAAACGATGATATTATTTAGATTTTGGTCTGCCTCTCATTGTTTTTACTGTTTAAAATCATGTTTAAAAAAACTTCCGAATGAAACATTTTGTTGCCCACTAATCAATAAGTAATCAACAAACAATAACAGCTGTGGCATGTACAGGGTTTCTTATACATAAGAGGCACAGTGGTGCACCGCCGTTGTCAAATTTAACATCGCGGTTGTGAAAATGTTCCTGTATTTATCTGCCGTTGTCAAAATAGTGTCAACCCAAAAATGAATAGATCTGATCACCACGTGCTTCTGGCATATTTAGATTGCCATGTGCGTTTATTGAGTTATGTGACGCGTGGTTCTATACTTTTCCGTTATTTGATTAGTTGGACTGCCATCCATTTTTTCCCCAAACTGGCCATTACCTCCTTTGTCTAATTTTCCCTCAGAAGAAACTCTGATGTACGTACCCCTCCGTGGCTGCTTCCGATCCCGGCAGCCCCATGGTGCCCCTCAGCGCCTGATGAACCCTGTTGAGGAACTGCTGGGTCGCACTCTCATACAGATCAAAGGCAATCTGATACGCCATCAAGGTGCCATGCTGAAGAAGAAATCAAAACAACGATCATAACTAAAAAACATAATAACCTTAAATGCGACTTTCCTACGATTGTGTTACCTTGCCACGATACCTTCACGAAGTAAATTCTGCTACAGATGTATCTAAATTATGTGTCCCCTTAAATTGGAAAAACCTACAGCTATGACATGACAGTTTACGAAGAATTGTAAGTGGCTCTATAATTGTATGAAGAAAAGGGAGAATCAATGTTAATTACAAATATAGTTTGAAACACAATAAAAACTAATAGTGCTAATTAATTCATATGCATTGATATTATATGCAGATTCACTTAATTTAACAGGATCTACTATCCTACCTCACTCTGTTTGATCAACTTTTCCAAAATCTCCGCGACTGACAACGGGTCGTCAAGGAAGATCAAGCACTGCAAAGTTAAACAGGAATGAAACCTACTAAAACAAACTGGGTAATAGAAAATGCCTATACATACATAGTATACGTCGAGCATGAAATATAGATAAAGATCGAACAAATATACATCAACATATCACAATTGACGGTAAAATAAAATCCACACATGACCGTTTTGTTAACATCTCATTGTTATAATTAAGAAAACAAAAATCAAACAATCGCTATACTCTTTCGAATGAACCAGTAGTGCCACCTGCTGGCAGAAAAAGTTGAAGCCACTATTATACACAATCAGTATCTACACAGTCAGTTTCTTCTGGACTCATTACTACTTGTAGGGCTAGATCTATCCTACTGTCTTTCTACTAGCATACTCTAGCTGTACCTGACAGACACCAATGTAGTCCGGTGTCTCCAATCCACTGTACAATTCCACCAGTACACGCAGCACGGTGTTACGAAACTGGCGATTTGGAATCAGCGTCATGCACACCTTCTGAGCATACGATAGATTACCGGCCACATCATCCTGTGAAGCATCAGTGCCACAGTTATTAAACTGTCATTTTTATATTACTAGTTTTATATTATATATATATATATACATACATACATATATACATAGCATATATCTTGAAAAAGGTATTGTCTCTCTTAACTTTACTAGTTCATGGACATTAAAAAAAAAAAGCTAAAAATAAAAAGAAGCTTTTCGAAACTCGTGTTTTGAATTGCTAACCGATTTCTTAATGGCGTCCTGAAAGATGTCCAGCCTCCTCGTCTCCAGGGCGATTCCAATCGCCTGCCTATACTTCCGGTCGTCAAGGCAACGCTGCAGCATCTTATTCACCACGGCTTCCAGCCTGCCATCCACATCCTTCTGCTCGGAGTTGTCCGCATTGTAGATGCGTAGCTTTGTGTAGTGGTCTATGCACTTCGCTGCATAAAGACAACATTCGGATCATGGGTAATCGCTGGTTATATTATAAAAGCGCATGAATATAGTAATTCAATGTAAGAGAGGTACTGATATTTTTTTTAGAAATGTCTCATGTAACTTGTGTTCGTCTTTTACATGCTCACCGTAATAAATTAACAGGTGAAAACTTGCAAATAACCAACACTTGTTGTCAGAAGCAACGTTTTGCATGTTTCAACGCCTTTTATATGCTACATCACTTGTGTCACTAGTGAAAAATACTGAAATCATCGATACACCAAGCAATATCAATCGATTCCACACAATATTCTCACCAATGGTTGTCTCCACATACTCCGACTGCTGATTGACATTAAACAGGGATCCAGCACCCAATGCATACGTCAGGGAATCCTCAAACGATCCAAGATGATAGTAGACCTTTGATGCAACTAACGCTGCCAACTCTCTGTGTTTGAATGTGTCATCTTCGTACAGTACCTCACTGCAAGTTAAACATGGCAAAATGAGTGTATATTGTATCCATGATGTAAATGACATAGCATGGTGATGTAATGGGATGGAATGGTGTCGCATTGTAGGGATAGGATATATATATAACTTCATCACAGGTCAATGATTTCATATTATTGCAAATTTTACAATGTCTTGTCTAGTAGACATCATTTTCTACCAATTCATTCATTATGACTAAATTTTCGACCAATGAAATGTGTTAATTTCACAGACCAACATGGGCATCTACAAGTGTATGTATGCTTGCGATGGGCTCACCCTCACAGTTATACAATACTTACATTTTTTCAATAGCCTCAGAAATTTCAGCCCAGAATTCATCTACGAGTTCATCCAGCTTCTGCAATGCGAACCACTTAAGCTCCGACTCTTTTTCATCCAGGAGGGAGATCACTCCAGCTGAAACGTGCGTAAAATAACAAGTAGGTACATTTCATGTAAAGGGAAAACACAAGTTCAGTGTGAAGTTTACAAACCTGCTATGAACTACGCTTAGAACAGCTTGGTGAGAATGGCAGATACATAATAGAATTCACGTGGTAATATTGCATTGCCATTGGCATTGACACTGACACTGTCAGCGAGGCTCATAGGGTCTATGTCCTCCAGGGTACTGCCGGAACGTACCCTGGTCACTATTTGATATGGTTAGGGTTAGGATTAGGGTTAGGATTAGGGTTAGGTTATGGAGTAGGCGTAGGCGACTCCCTAGACTCGTTAGTGGAGTAGGCGAGGTACGGTACGGCATATTAGATAGTACCAGGGTACGTTCCGGTATACCGGACCGCACCCAGGGTGTACGTTCCGGTATACATGAGGGGGACATAGACCCTCTCAGTCTCAGCGTCAGCGAGTGTGTGACAGTTTGTTTTATTTACCATTATTTTATTATTGTAACGGCTAAGCACGCAGATGTGACCACAGATTAATGAAAGCACATCTATAATCTTCACCATTCAGAGTCAACACAAAATTGTGTAACTCATTTAGCCTAGGGCCTACTCACTCGCACTGACACTCGCTTAGAGTTAGACACAGTGACTCAGCAACGCGTGAAATGAGGACCTCGGCTCTACACTATATCTCCATAATTTAGACCACCAATAAAGCAAGGCTTCCAGCTTTCACTGATACTTACCAGCCGACGTTATCCTCATTTTCCGTTTAATTTAAAATGCTTTTTTTATAGTTTTATCACTGAAAATCGGCAAGTTCTTACGATTTAGTCAACTGACAACCTGCAAACCTGCGCGAAATATGTAATGTAGTGAAGATAGTGCTGCCCCCAAAGGACTAGTCTTGTGTTTGCGCCAGCGTACATGGAGGTAAAATTTTCCTCTTCCTATTTGTGGTAACGGTTAGGGTCGTAGTCAGACATTTTAGGTTGACGAGGTTTGATGTACTTTTAGAACCGTGAACGAAACATACGTTAACTCCATTTTAATTGAGGTGTTTGTACTGATGATATTACTCATAATGGTTTTCACCAACCTGTAACTTAATTTCGTATTTTCAGGGACAAAGACCACAAACTCAATTAGTCGATATTCAACCCCTCAGACGCTGGCTGAGCCACAGGTGTAGTCGTAAGCACGTTTCCATGATGTGGTTGATATGAGGTAAGATACTTAAGTTTATTCGCTATTGCAAAGTAGTCTATTTATTTTTTTAGATTTTTAATTTAACTGATTTGTTACTTACTGTACTTCCTTGGCTGCTGACGTAGGTAGATAACCATGTTTTTTGTTGGTCCTGGGGCTGGTATTTGCAGTATTGACGTTACTCGGTTTTATCCGTATCATATGTGTATTTTAGGTTGTAACTATCAGCCGACATTCCAGAATTCGATAGGACTTCCATGTATTTCATCTATTTAATTGACATTTTTCAATAAATTCATTCAAATCATATTTGTATCACAGTGTGAATTAATAAAACGAACTGTCCGACATTACACCTGATCAGTTAGTGGCAGTGCTAATTCAACAACCATAGAGTTCTGTTTATTGTTAATTTGGAATTTTAGGCATATATATATCGTATGCCTGAGCTCATCACTATTTTAATAATACATTTACATTCACTCGTGTTTTAGTCATTATTCCCAGCTTGACTCATTATTCCTAGAACTGCTACTTTCACAACATTTCTTCGGAAATCTGAAATCGCTTGACAAAGTAGTATTTTGGCATTTGACTTAAGTGTTTGCATGTGAGTTGCTAGTTTTGGACAACGAGCTTGGCCGACGTAGCTAGTTTACTAGCTTGATGAAGAAGAAATCATAATTCTATGATGGAACAAACTCCTATAATTTATAGAGCAAGTTTATTTTTATATTTTTTAATTGATTGCCAAATTGTAAACCGTATTCAGTAGTGTGATATGTTACTCATGAGTGAATAACTGTGGCGTCTTTTTGTGGTTGTTAAAGCCTTTGTTATCATTGGTGTTGTTGAACTCTGCTGAACTAAGGTTTGCAAATGCTGTTATTTCGTTAAACATTTCTGAATTACGGGCAACATTCAGTGATTTTTTTCCCTATAATGTAACTATGTTCACAGAACATTATTATGTTCCAATAATGTAAGTTCTTTTACATTTCATTATGAGAATATGCATGTTTAATTATAGTGTTGTTTTCATAAGAATTTATATACGTAAAAGAATCTGAATGTAAGTTTGTGACTAGTCCAGTCATGGATAGGATGGATAACATAGGATAGGATAGTCTAAAATATTTAGTTTAGTTTCTAAGCAACGGCTGTGTCATTGTTTTCTCTTAATTCATTGCACATTTTATGAAAAACAAATAATTTTCATAAAAATATATTCTAGAAGTTTACCCAATAGCCATTTTTCTTGGGTCGGTCCCTTTGGCATTCTCGAAGACAAAACTTGTGGATAGCTTTCTTTGGTGGTTAAAAATGTGATAGTAGACTGACAAAATTGAGAATAAAATTCCGTAATTTAACAGTGATGTGCGCTTGCGTGTGCGTGCGTGCATTTGTGTACTAACAGTAGTTAAATTTGATAGAAGTATATCAAATAATGGCTTTATTAGTTTATTTTGTACATAACATATTGAAATAATGTTTGGGACCTGATATTTACTGGTCTGTGGGAGTTTTTTTCTAAATGATGTACCTTTAATACCCTGACCAGTACAGAAAATGCATTATGCTAGAATGAAGTAAAGGTAGCACCTAGGTTTGAGTATGATCTGATCATCAGTAAGTTCTGCTATTCTGATGAAGAGGAAGCAAGAAAATGGAAAGCAAAGCAAGAGAAAGGAAGAGGGAATAAAAAGTTTTAGAATTACCAAAGAGGAGCCCTCAGCAATTTAGTTGCAGGCCCATTTATTTTCATTATTTTATGGAAGTGTGTTCTGTTCGACATAAAATGCATTCTTGAACCTGTGACATATATAGAGATATTTTAAGATGGTCAAAAATACATAAAACTCATCCTGGTTTAGTTTTAACTGGAGAAAAATTATTGATGACGTGTGTGTGTGTGTGCGCATGTGTTTGTGCGTGTACGTGTGCGTGCGTGCGTGCGTGCGTGTGTGCGTGTGTGTGCATGCGTCCATGTATGTGCACGCGCGTCTGTGCACAATTTCTCGAAGAATCGGCAAAACAGAATTAAATGTAGTAATTTCCCCATGGAAAATTAGATCTAAAGTTTAGTCATTCTGTTTATTCATTTCCGACATAGAAATACAATCATAGTATCATGTTAGCATGCCAATGCTAAACTTAGATTCACTAGCAGTCCTGCTTCTTGGTGCTTTGAGCTGTTTCCATGAATTATACAATGCTGTGTGGGTAGAACGGTGAACCATGTAAATATAATATGGTTAATGAGAGACTGACACAGCAGTGGAGGGAACAAAGAGGAATCTATCATTAAAACATGATAATGTCCATGCATATGTGTGTGTTGTGTAGTGTGGATGTAAGGTTTTCACAGAAACCCCATAAAAATCGCATCTTTTATATTAAAAGGTACATTTGGTGGCTATTTTTAATAAAATGTAAAAGTCACGCTTGCAAAATCGATGAGGTATTTATAGTTAAACAGGTTGTAAAGTAGTAAATGTCACACGCTTATTTTGTGAAACTCTGTATATGGCTAATAATTTCTTAATTAAGTTGGGTTTACTATTTCGTCGGTAATTTTGTAATTTTATAATGCCAAATTAATTGAATAAAATGCCTAAATAATGAAATAAATTGAACATGATTGCATGAATTTTAAATTCATAATCATGCCAAAATTCATGTCTAGGAATGCTTAACAGTTCCCTATGTATGTAATTTCTAAATTGTAGACAATACATAGATCTTCCATTAAGAACACATTGTCCAACTTGGACTTACTGGTTAATTAAACATCCAGCTCCACACATGAGTACATATAATTTTGTGTGGCGTGAGAAAGGCGTACACAGTGCTTTTGCACCGTGGTTCCCTGATTGTTTCGTCTTCTTTTTACAATGCTTTATCAGTTTTGGGTTTGAAAGAGTGCCGAGCAATCGCTAGAATGCGTGTTATTTCCCCAGTGAAAGTCAGTAGACGCAAATATTCATGAAACTTTGCTAATACGCTGCACGATTAATGATTAATCGTGAAGTCGTGTAATATTATTCGGAATCTGTTCTATGCAGCTGTTATGTGATATGTCCTTCTGATGTGTTTATCTGATATCAGGGGTAGAAATTAACTTTTGAACAAGGGAGTCCAACGAACTCCCTGCCCTCAAAAGGAGGGAGTCCGCAGCAAAATAAGGGAGTCTGCTGTCTGAATTTCAAAACTAAAGATATTAATAATGACGCATGTGCTTATTTTGAAGATTCATGCAGTTGCACGTCTGCCAAATTGTCTTTGAACATTTTCTGGATAAATACGGTAATTCCGTGAGGTTGTGCTCTGGAACAAACTAGTTAGTATATAGCAGAATTTTCAGGGAGTCACACGGACTCCTGCATATATGTCAAATCAGGGAGTCCGACAGTAGATAAGAGAGTATTTGACTCCGGACTCCCGTTAATTTCGCACCCTGTGATATGTATCCTGATATGTATACATAATTTACTAGCTATGCGTGGCATCTGATGTAAATGTTATCTGTATTATTTAGCTACCTCTTTCTTTGCGGTTTTCACATTTGTTACGTATGAGCGGTGATGTTACTACATGTAATTTGATGTAAGCCCATTCTGCGTAACGCTGGTTTAAAATGGTTATTATTGGTGATAGGTATCTAGGGGTAGAAATTAACTTTTAAACACGGGAGTCCAACGGACTCCCTACCCTCAAAAAGAGGGAGTCCGCGGCAAAATGAGGGAGTTCGCAGTCTGAGGTTTAAAATTTAAAAGATATTAACAATAACGCATGTCATAATTTTTAAGATTCATGCAGTTGCACGTCTGCCAAATTTTCTTTGGGCATTACCTGAAAACATATGGTAATTCTGTGAGGCCGTGCTCCGAACGAACTAGTTAGTATGGCAGAATTTGCAGGGAGTCACACGGACTCCTGCATATGTCAAATCAGGGAGTCCGACAGTAAATCCGAGAGTATTTGACTCCAGACTCCCGTTAGTTTCGCACCCTGGGTATCAGTAATATTCACTCCTGATAATATCATGAATAATCTCGTTTCTGTACTGAGTTCTTACATGTGCCAGAGGTGAGATGATACATACATGTGTAACTTTAGCTCTCGCTCTCACTCCATACAGCTGATGTAATTAACCATTATATCGTACGCTAGCATAGTAATCATTTGGTTGTAAGTATCACTACGTTGATGTTCGGATGTTATACAAATGCCGACTATATGCACGGGTGGCCCGTTTATCCCGTTTATCCGCCGTTGGCTTGGTCCGTTGACACTCAATGAGTAGAGAGTAATCATATATTGTTTGCCTCAGCATACACACCCCGCACCTAGCCACTGCGCAAACATTCAACAGTCCAGGTGCTGGCAGCAAACACTGGTCGCTTGACGGGCTACCAATGTCCCTACTACTACTATTACTACTACTACTACTAGTAGTACTACTCGTGGCCTGCTATATGGGTCTGAAATGTCGCTGAATGCACACACGTATATATATGGCCAAGCATCGTATCGAGCTTGTAACTATCTCTCGCTCGTTATTCCCCAGTCGTGCAGATGTCTGCAAAAAGCCTCCCCTTCAGTTTCAGCTGATATAAAATTGAGCGCACGCACGCACGTACGCACGCACGCGCGCACGTACGCGCGGCGATGGATGCAGTCGACCCGGCGAGCGGCACAGACAAGGACGAGGACTCGTCTTCCTCTTCGCAAGCTTCCTCCGCCGAGCAAGACGACGAGCGAGAGTCCGACGCAAAGGTGAACGGAGAAGAAGAAGAGGAAGAGGAAGAAGAAGACGACGACAGCGAGGCAGACGTAAAGAGCGGTCTTTCTGACGCAGACGAGGAGAGCAACGCAGACATCGAAGAGGAAGAAGACGAGAAGAGTGACGAAGAAGAGGAGGAGGAGGAGGAGGACGGTTCGTGCGAGACCGACGCGAGTTCGGGTAGAGCGGCAGCAGCGGCGGTGGTGTACGCACACAGAGTAGGTGGCACTGACCACTGTAACTTGGCTGACACTGACAGGTGATGACCATAATACGTTTAATAGAAGTTTCTCGTGTGTGTGCGCGCGCACACACTCCGATGTCTGTACCGCGCGCGCGTGCGTGTCGTTGTTTGGTCCGTCGTGTCGCTCGGACCGCTCAGTCACAGGGTCCTCGTTGTCGTATGTGCCTCTCCCGGGGAGGAGTGTGTGGTGATGCGTACACATGGCCTCCCGAACGAACGTTACCGGCTCCAGCCCCAGGACTGTTACTGTTACTGTTAGTTTACTTGCATGGCAATCCTTCCCCCCTCAGTGCGATTCGTTTATTTTCTACTGCTAGCTCCTTCCAGCTGCACGTGGGCTTGCGCTGCTTCTTCTCTGACCGCGTGTGGCGGAACAAACTTCGCTTTACTTGACTGATTAGATATTCCTGCGTCTCCCGTGTTATGTCCTCAAATGTACAGCGAGCCACCCTGCCGGCACCTTTCAGACGTGCCATCAACTGATTCTGCTAATTGTTGTTGTTGATGAGCGCTGCAACGCTGACTAAAATACAAGCAACTCACAGATGTGTGCGTGCGTGCGTGCGTGTGGGTGTGTCCGTGCGTGCGTGTGTGTGTGTGTGTTCGTGCGTGCGTGCGTGTGTGTGTGTTCGTGCGTGCGTGCGTGTGTTCGTGCGTGCGTGCGTGTGCGTGCGTGTGTTCGTGCGTGTGCGTGCTTGTGTTCGTGCGTGTGTGTTTGCGTGTGCGTGCGTGTGTTCGTGCGTATGTGTGCGTGCGTGCGTGTGTGTGTTCGTGTCGTGTTGTTACTCACTCTACGTGTTTCACTAATCCGATCTCGTAATGTAACATCTCATTGTTTGATTCCTAGATGCGAATAATAATATCGAGAAAGTAAGACTTAATTACGCAAAAAAAAAGTCTGCGACGAAAGCGTCCGTGTCACAAATCGGAACGAATTAATTTCGTCTCAATTGCGCGCTGTGATTAAATATTCAGCGTAAGGAATCTGTATACAACTATTACAAGTTTGTAAAGTCGTGATTGAGAAAAGCGACACGCTGCGACGCTCGCTTCGAAGGAGGCGGGGATGACGATCCGCCATTTTGCGTGTTTAATTAAAATCGGGCGTTGATCTTCTCTCATTAGGTCCGATATTGCTCCAGCAAAGGGTCTCTTCAGCATCTTCGGTAAGCAAAAGCACCAATCTAAACGAAAGAAACGGAACATTGAGCGTAATATCCAAAAGATCATGAAAATGAAAGAGTTAGCAGACCAGGATGAAAGTATGGAGGATGGAGATCCCCATTCACAAGGTAGATAGACAGATAGATAGATTGATCAGGGGCGGATCCAGACTATTTCTAGCACCCTCCTCATCCTGCACTCGTAAATTCAAAAGTTGTAGGCGTCTATCTCGAAACTCGCAGGCTCACCGTCAGTAGCGTCGATATCGGAGCAAAATTGATGAAGTTTCAATTTTGTTTATTGTGCCCGTGTTCGGCAGGGGAAAGAGGGGAGAAATTCGCCGACAATGGCGGACGATGTGCGGCAGTAGTGGATCGTCTATCTACCTTGGTTTGCGCGACGGATGGACGTACGTGCAGTGCCGACTTGCGCGAATCATTATAGTTGGCTCTACTGCACGCGATCCGTGTGCTTCATGTTGCTGCTTTCATTGGCTCTCTTCAGAAAACAATCCTTGGCGTGCGTACGTGCGTGCGTTCGTGCGTTCGTGCGTGCGTACGTGCGTGGGTTCGTGCGTGCGTGCGTGCGTGCGTGCGTACGTGCGTGCGTGGCTGGCTGGCTGGCTGGCTGCTGCCTCGGTACAGCTGCCCCTGTATGTATGTGCGTGCGCGCTGAACGAACGCAAGAGAAAGATCCACCCCTCCTCCCCCTCCCGCGACCTCTCTCGGTGGCTCGCTCGCTGGCTCACTCACTCACTCAGTCACTCAGTCACTCACTCACTCCCACTGGAAAACTAAAAATTTTAATGCGTGTCCAGCCGCAGAACCGAATTCCGTGTTAAATAACTAGTGTAAATTGTTTGGATCCGTGCCTGATCGATAAATTGGGTTAAGCATATGTCTACGTTATTCGGTGTATCTTCGTGTGTACGTATGGACAGTTTTTTTTTTATAAACTCATCTGCCAGAGCTTCTATAAAATTTGATGAGGTTCGTGGTTTAATCTTCACATTTATAGGTATTTATGATAGGTTTTACATAGGATGACACGCGACCATTACGAACTCGTTTTGATATACTGTACGCGTATGTGCGCGCCTGTGCGCCTGTGCGTGCATGCATGTGTGGGTTGTGTGTGTGCATGCATGCGTGAGTGTATGTAGGGTGAGTGCATCTGCTTGCGTGCCTGCGTTTGTGTGCGTGTGCGTGACTCATGTGTATGTTGTATGGGCAGGCTGTTTGTCTTGCGTGTGTGCGTGAGAGCGCCTGCTGCATGTGTGCGCGTGTGTTTGCGTGTGCGTGGGTTGGTTTATATGTGTGGCTGTGCGGGTGCGTGCGTGCTGCGGGTGCGTGAGTCATCCGTAGATTGGGTGGCCAGCTAGTGTGTTTGGCTTGCGTGCGTGCCTTTGTCCGCTGCGAGTGCGTGATGCTGTATCCGCGTGCGCGTGTGTGTGCACGTGCGCTGTGCGTGCATGCATATCTGAATGCCTGCCGCGTTCGTGTGTTTGGCTTGCGTGTGTGCACTGTATGCTGTGTGTACCGTTCGTGTGTATGTGTGTTTGTGTGTGTGCGTGCGCGTGCGTGCGTGCGCCAGGATGTTTGTGCATGCGGTTGTTTGCAGTGTATGGGTGCAGGCGAGTGTGTTTGTGGGTGGGGTAGAGGCGTCTGTATGTGTGTGTGCGCGTCGCCTCGTATATATTTTTTGTGGTCGAATATCTAACCTGCTAATCACTTAGTGGAGTCTTGGACACTGAATTTTACCGCAATATAGTATTTACCAACTGAAATTAACCTCAATGGCATAGGCAGAGTAGAACACGATGATACAATAATTCCACTTTAGCAATATGCTTGCATTTTATTAAGTGCACACAGTATCTGATATAATTAGGCTCTTGGTTGTATCCCAATCTAGTTGCATTTGATTACTGTCTAACTATCATAATTATATATAACTATACACATGTGTTTAGTGTGAATAAATATTTTTGAATCGAGTTGAATTGATGTGAATTGAATATTAACTCAGAACATTCATGCAAGAACCAACCTTTACAAGAGTATAGTGTCTACGTGGTAAAAGTCCTTCCAAGCTCAATGTTGAGAGTGAATGTTCTGGTGCGCTATAGTCTATAGATGATGTTATCAATGACAACGGTTATCTGCAAAGATAGAAATGGCATTCATTCAGATCCATACATGTACAACAAATAATATCGTCTAGTCATGGTTGATTATACCATATTACCACCCTTCTTATCAAATCTTATTTCTCCGACACTGAAATTCTTCACAAAAATTGGGTAATCAGATTTTCTATTTTATATCATGTTTTTATGTTGTTTTAGGTAGTTTGTTCTATATTGTTATTTGAATCAGTTCATAAAAATTAAGGACCAACATGCAACATTAAAAAAAAATTATCGGCCTCGTGCAGTGCCACGAACCCATCCTCAGAATTTAGTTCTGTGCAAAAACTACCCCTCAGAAACCAGAAAATACCCTGGTGTGTGTGCGCATGCATGCATACGTGCATGTGCATGTGTCTGAATGTGCATGTGTGTGTCATTGTGTGTGCATGTGCCCTGCAATTTATATAGATAGTCTTAGAAAGCTATTTTTCTTCCGAGTTCTGAGACAAGAATTTAAGCTTTGTTCAGAAGCCAGGTTCTGTCGATGTATTATAGTGCTAGATTAGGCACATTTCTATGGTTTACTTTTCCATGCATGTTGCATACTACTTGATGATAATTAATTCATTACAGGTGAGTCTGGTGAAGCATCTACTAGCAAAGGTACCGTCAAAGAAGAGATGGAATCTGAAAGTAGTTCCGGAGTGGAAAGCGAAGACGCTTCGGACGAATCTCCCGGAATGATGCAGGTACAAAAATCGCGTTAGTCCGCGCGGGAAAAAATTCCAGTTTTGATGTAAGAGTGCATATAATATCTTTGTTCTCTGCAATTGGGATGCTCATTGGGATCGGCGACATTTCACGTTCATTCGTTTATTTGTGAGTCGGGGAAACATTGTCTGTGTAGCGTTCCCGTCCACCCGAATGACTAATGATCGTTTGCCGACTTTGTTGTTTTGGAATAGCCTCCTCTCGGACAGTCTGAGAATAGGGTGGGTATTGTGCATGCCGTAACCTGTGATATTATTATGTGTGTGCAGTGTTTCCCCTGGCCAAAAAGGTGTGTAAGGTGGTAAATTTTTTGGTGTGTTTGCGCGTTTCGAGGTCCTAGCAAAGCGAGGGGTCCGGAGGCAAGCCTCCTAGAATATTTTTTTGTAAAAATGGTGTGATTTGGTGTATTCTAAGCTATTTTGGTGCACTATAAGCTCTGTTCTATGGAAGAACAGTGATTTTCGTCAGCGAGGCGGTGTTTTGGACAAATTTCTGTGTGGCGGTTGAGAATTTGAGCGAGGCAGCCCGCCTCGCTCGTGTCAATGCAGGGGAAACACTGTGTGTGTATATACGAACGACCACCCGTGTAGAATTCTTAATGATAGCACGTTAACGAGCGCGAAGCTCGCCCGAGTGAATCTGCGCGCCGCGTCTTTCCTCGCGCGCGAGCGGAATCCGATCGATTCGCGCGCGCACCTATCTCCGCTTTTGAAGCTCAGCTCAGAGAGTGCGCCCTGTCCTCCCACGCCATACACGCGATTAAATTTTAAGCGGGGCGGTGGGATCCCGGGAAGCCCTCTCCCGAGTTCACCCCCGTGTTTCGTCGTTTTTTGTCGCGTCGCGTAGCTGCCGCAGGAGCTGCTGAACTTCCCGGACGTGGCGGCGGCGGCCGCTCTGCTGATGAAGCACGAGGATGAAGCTGAGTCGGCTGGCAACATCCCGTCCCTGCCTCCCCATGGTGAGTACTCGCAGCGTCGCCCCGCGCTCTCCTCCTCCTCCTCGCATCTTTCTCGCACTCGCCTCTCCTCCCCTCGTGCTCTTTCTCGCCTTTCACTTCTTCTCACGTCGGCGACCCTCGCTCCTCCCTCGACTCTTTCTCTCTCTCTCTTCCTCTCTCTCCTCCTCGCCTCTCTCTCTCGTCTCTCTCTGTCCTTGACTCTCTCTCCTTGTCGCTTATTTCTCTCCACCTTGCCTCTCTCTCCTCGCTCTCCTCCTCGCTCTCTCTCCTCGCTTCCTCTTCGCCTCTCTCTCCTCGTCTCTCTCCTTGTCGCTTATTTCTCTCCTTCTTGCCTCTCTCTCCTCGCTCTCCTCCTCGCCTCGCTCTCCTCCTCGGCCTCTCTCTCCTCGTCTCTCTCTCTCTCTTCCTATCTCTCTCCTTGCCTCTTATCTGTCCTTGCCCTTCTCCTTGTCGCTATTTATTCCTCCTTGCCTCTCTATCTCCTCTGCTTCTTTCTCGCCTCTCTTCCTCGCTTTCCTTCCTCACCTCCTCTCCCCCCTTGCTCTTCTTCTCCTCTCCAGCGAGATCTGTGGCTTGCAAATTGCCAAGGCCCTGCACGGATTTTCTAGAGACTTGTTATTCTGTAGCGTAGCTCGTGCAGGACCATCAGTGGTGATGCCAGTGAGAGGCTTTACCACGGCGGTAGGTGAGCGTTGTCGCGTGGCGGCACTGCTTCTAGAGTTGTTGTTCCAGAACGAAGCTGATACGCTCGTGTCTGTTCATATATATATCCGTAGGTTCGTTAATTACGAATCCTCAATATGCAAGATACACGTATAATTTAAAGTAGATAAGTAGTATCGGTAATCCTTTTTTTGCGGCTGTAAAAAAGTTGCTCTGCCCTGTTGTGCGAATTTGAGTTGGAATACAAGAGATGGGTATTTCATTCATGCCATTAAATTTATATTGGGTTACAGTATATAGGACCTATTTTTCTAGTTTTGAATGTTCATTTGAATCTCGTGATGAAATTTGTTTTAGTATAAGTAGCCCACTGTATAGCGTTGTATTAATGGCTTCATGAAACGATCACGTTTTAATTGACTACGTCACGACATTTTCTATGGTGTATATTTATTTAAAAAAATTGTCATTTTATTACATTAAAAGTAAGTACTACGGGACTAAATTCTTACCCTATTAATTCTTACCTGGATAAGATTGTTTCTCAGCTAGTTAAAATATCAAAAACCTGGACCGATTTTGAATATTATGATCCTGACATTAATTTGTTGCTATGGGCTATGTTGAGTCACGAGTGTAGGTTTACATCGAACAATATAGTAAAATAGGAAGTAATAATGCAGCCATTTAACCATAAAAAAGTGAACAGAATTGGTTACATTTTGTGAAAAATAGTGGAAATGTTTTTTTTTTCTTTTACTATTTACGTGACGTAATCACTTTTAATGCATTACATAGTGAATGTGTAATCTCGGCTACAGATTTACGGAGAAAAATTACGTTACGGTAATCCCGTGCGTTACAATTACGTAAGCAATGTGTTCCAGAAAGATGGTTTGCAATGCAAAAATTCCATAACATGAATCACCAGGAAATAAATATTTATATGGAAGAAACTGCCTGCATTCATTCTTGAAAGAATTTATGTAGAGGTAATTTGTATTTTGTATCGATCATACATTGCTGTGGAACGTAGAAGTTTCACGTATGGGGAGTTATCGTAAACTTGATGTTACTTGTAATTCAATATAATAGAATAAAGATGGAGAAGTAAGGTGCGTACTGTTATTACTCTGAACTGCTGGGCTTTTTTCGACTCAGTCATCACTTAAAAAATTCTAATGTTGCTGGTCCTCCGACGACTCCACGAAAAGTAGCCGCGACCCAAAAGTTTGGTTTTTAATTTTGGGTTCCATTTTTAATTTTTTTATTTGATATTTTGTCTATATAATTTAAATATTAAATATAACTCTTTACTGGTGATCTGGAAGGATGCATGTTACATTCTGCATAGTTAAAGGCTGAACGACAAAGCATGCTGTTGGCAAACATTGAGGACAGATTAATTAACTATTATGCCTCGCAGACAAAAAAGCCTTACCTACCTTACCACTTAAAAAAATCATGCGGTCGGGGGAAGCACATAGAATTTTATTAAGGATGGAGTCAGTGCCCCCCACTGTGCTGTAGGTTTTTTGTGACAATTACAACATAATATACTATGAACAACACAACGAATAGAAGTAAATACATTCACATGTATATTTAAGGCTATCTTGGTTACCTCAAATATCAAAACTTCCATTTATTTGTACCGATGGACCTTACCTAATGATAGTCTGTATGGCACAATGCCTGCTGCACGTATGTTCCTCTAATTATTCTCTGGTTGGACGAACGTATTAATTAATTTGTAGAAGCGTTATGAAGCATTCATGAATTTTTAACGTGTTGATTGAGATGGTGTTATTGCAACCATGGTTTTGAACTGTGTGGTCACGGGCTAAATTCAGTGTGCCACTTCAGGGTGATATATTCGAGTTGTTTATTTTATGAATAATTTAGATAAAAAAGTAACTTCTATCCTATTTAAGAGGTGAGACCATGCCAATAAAACGGCCCGTCTCACTATTCTGTGCAGCAAATTTCATCGGTGATGTTGTTGCGGGTTGCAAAACTCCTATAATTAAAACAATGAATATTTTTATGATGCTTACATAATACATCCAACATAATGGACCCAAAAACGTGAGGAAATGCGGTAAACAGCGCAGTTTTAACCATAAGGAGCAAACAAATAAGAAAAACATGACGGGCATCGTTGACATTATTACCCTAGGGAAGGTCAAAATCGCTCAGATTTATGTATAGTTGTATCATAGACTTTAAACGCATCTACTCTTATCGTTGCAGTAATGGCATTTCACAATGACCACGCTTAATACTTAATAGCTTTGTTAACAAACTGCTGGCTTGCCTGTTAGATAGCGTGACATTACATTACTTTAACGCTCCTGTGTCGTTCTCGCAGCCACTATATACTAGGCTGATGTCACCAATTTAGTTCCCCTTCTCACAGATATCGCTGGTACAATCATCAACGTGCCTCCTCCTCCTAAACGCTCGGCCTCTTTAGCCGGCATTTCACTTAAGCGTTGTCGTTGCGTTAAAGAAAGGCATTTCTTAAATGAACTGCCACCAATCGAATGAAAATATGCGAGATGTGGTTTCGCTTATTTAGCGAACATGTTACTGAGTATTATATTGAATAGAAATTTGTACTGTTGATTGATGTTATATAAAACTATCTACATTGAGAGTGACGTAGACACTGGCTTCTAGACTCGTACCTACATCTCTATAGCTTAATTCGTAGTTTACCTAATGTCAAAATGAGCTTAGGTTAGCAGCACGTTCGGGGGGAAACAAGTGGCAATATCATGTTACCGCGTCGATTGCGAGTTAAACTGAATGGAATTCAATCGTTTGCATATTTTGTGGAAATAACGCATGTATTTGGAGTTTTATAAGACCTGGTAGTGTTACTGTTGACACTTCTAGTTACGTAAGAATACCCTACTTATTACCAGTGTGTATTGTAATGGTTGAAAACAGTACAAAAACGGTCGGGAATACTTCGAAATAATTACTTCATGTATACGATACTAAATATACTGTTATAAATACTTAATGGTATGCGAAATGATACTGCTACTTCTTGCTTAGCGCCAAAACAAATAATATATGTGTGGGTTAACCGTTACATGCCCGGAAAAAAATTAGCGGTAGGCTTAGGATAGGTCGAAACACATTTTTATTTTTTGAAATATTTTATCTTACGAACATGTCCGAAAGGATGTGCGCGTGTCTTATTGACAGCAGGGAACTGTCAATTAACATTTTTTTTTAATAAAAAAAAAAAATTTTTTTTTTTTTATTTATTTATTTATTTACTTTACAAGAAAAGTTGACAATAAAAAAGCTATTAGGGTTGCTGGGAATAAACTGGGGTTCGGTCGCGGAATCTAACCACACTATTATTTTGTTTTGGCCTTATGATGATTATTATTATGGTGATGGATGACGATGCGATAGCGATGATGAACACCTCTGTTTCAAATCATTACTTTAAAATTAAAAGCATCTTATTTAAGCCCGCGAACCTCCACCCCCCCTCCCCCAACACTGATTCGAATCGACCGCGCACGTTGCAGCCGCCGCGACGCTGCCTGAGGCGCGCCACGCTCGGTGACCTGGGTCGCGCCGCCGCGGGTCCCGCGCCGGTTCCGCAAGTACAGCTGCCACATCTAGCGGTCAACGAGCATCGACGCGCAAGGACTACCTGCTGCCCAGCGCGGCGCACCTGCGCAGGAGCTACACCTACCAACTGCCGGCTGTTGCGAGCCGCGTGCTTCACCGCGCGCCGCTCGAGGAGCACATGGCGGCGGAGCCGTGGACGCGGCGGCCGTCCCGTGCCGGCTGTGCGGCGCGAGTTTCGCTCGTACGCGGGGCTGAAGCACCACGAGATGCCTGCTGCACCGCCCGCGGGAAGCGCCACGTGCTGACGCGTGCTGGAAGTCGTTCCGCACCCGCGCGCCGGACCTGCGGAGGCACCGATGCGCCGCACGAACCGCCACGTTCGTGTGCGCCGACGGGCGGCAAGCAGTCTCGGCTTGCTGCGATCACCCTGCAGGTTAGTGTTCGGTTCCGTGTTTCGTTCGTCGCATCAGTCGGGTGGTTGTGCCAAGCAACCGACGGGCATCGATGAGTCGAGATAATCGGTGTTGAATGGTATTGGTCTATGGCTACCCGGATTATTGAAATTGATATAATATCTCATAATAATACATGTATTTTTTATTACTTACGGTATTCTAAAAGTGACTGTAAAGCACGTTTATGCTTGCGCTTATGCTTTGGTAGTTTAGTTTTAGATTTACTGTCTCCAAGCTGTAAAGTGACATACAAAATGAATAAAAGAGTCGTTTCATCAATGC